AAAATAAAAAATTAAAATTTTATATAAATATAATACATAAAATTTATATATAAATTAATCTTTAACCTTACATAAAAATAGAAAATAAAATTATATGCATGTCAATTGTCAAGGTGAATCTAATAATTTTCTGGGGTATTTTAGAAAATGATAAAAAATGCAATTCTAAATAGGTATTTAATAGCCAAACAAAACCACCGAATGTGGACAGTGGGCAGGAGATCCGCTGCTCCATCCACGGCAAGGTCTTCTTTCCACTTACAACTCCTTTTTGGCTGCTTTTGGCTGCCACCAACTCTCTCTCTCTCTCTCTCTCTCGATTCTGAAACTAAACTCTTTTTTTTTTTTTTCTTTATATCAAAAAGTTATTTATTTTCGTGTTACAGAGATTTAAATATTTAATTTTTTTATTGTAAATCAAACATCTTACGTTTTTTAAATATATCGATTGGGGCAAATTCTTGTGGGTGCGAGGCAGGGCTCTTTCTCTCTCTTCCTCGATTCTTCGTCCTTTTTCTTTCCTTGTTCTTTTTTATGCAACACCATAATTCTGTGTTTGCCTAGATTGCCTATTTTGACTCATTACCAATTCTGGGTTATTCAGAGTTTATTGTCTAGACTTGGATTGAGTCTCAGTTAATCGGAAATCGAAACGGAAGACCCAGTTGTTTTGTTTGCAAGGTTCACCTGCAAAGATCTGATTTTGAACGGTTAATGGGTGGGGGCGATTTCGATGAGATTGGAGCTGATATCAGGTGATATTTTATTTTGGTTTGTTTATGCAATCTTTATTCTTTAAGATTATGTTCCAAATTTTAATTCCTTCTCTGCTCTATCATTTGGGTTCGTATGAATTTGAATTTACAAATGAAATAATGGGTTTTCTGCTCCTTTTTCATTGGAATCATTGGAGGAACTTGGATTTATTATACCTTTGGTCTCTATTGAAATGGGATGACTTTTCTTTGCGTATGTGTGTTTTAATTTCCTTCAATCTAGGCACTGGTATGGTGGCTGTAATTGGTGGTAGATTGAGATTATGAGATCTTTTAAAAGAGGGCTTTTGATAGGAGCAAGTCTAAGAGGGTTATTTTAGCAATCTGCAAACTTTATCGGATGATAAAGCAACTTATCATTTGGTTAAGAAGTGAAATTAAAATTTTAAGCATTGGATGGTATGTTGTTTTAGTGGCAAAATGACAAAATGATTATCTTTATTGAGTCCTGTATGACCATTTGGTCTAGTTGAGATTAGAGTTCTGTTTCCTGCATAGTGATTGATGTTAACTATTTCATGCATTCTAACCAGTAAAGAAATCATTGTAGTTTGTGTACTCTGCACTTTATGATTGTTGCTGACTCATTGTGTGACAGCTCGGACAATGAAGTTGATGACATAAGGTGTGAAAATATAGCGGAAAAAGATGTCAGTGATGAAGAGATTGAAGCAGAAGAATTGGAGAGGCGAATGTGGAAGGATCGTATCAAACTCAAAAGGATTAAGGAAAGACAGAAGCTTGCTGCACAACAAGCTGCAGAAAAGCAAAAGCCTAAGCAGGCATCTGATCAGGCACGGAGGAAAAAAATGTCTAGAGCTCAGGATGGGATTCTTAAGTATATGTTGAAGCTAATGGAAGTTTGCAAAGCACGTGGGTTTGTTTACGGGATCATTCCTGAGAAGGGTAAGCCAGTAGGTGGTTCTTCAGATAACATACGAGCTTGGTGGAAAGAGAAGGTGAAGTTTGATAAGAATGGACCAGCTGCCATAGCCAAGTATGAAGCAGAATGTTTAGCTATGAGTGAGGCAGATAACAAAAAAAATGGTAACTCTCAGAGTGTCCTTCAAGACCTGCAAGATGCAACTCTTGGATCCCTCTTGTCTTCACTGATGCAGCATTGTGATCCACCTCAAAGGAAGTATCCACTAGAAAAGGGAGCTCCTCCACCTTGGTGGCCCACTGGAAATGAAGAGTGGTGGGTACCATTAGGGCTAGCCCATGGCCAGAGTCCTCCATACAAGAAACCTCATGATCTTAAGAAGGTGTGGAAAGTGGGAGTGTTAACAGCTGTAATAAAGCATATGTCACCTGATATTGCAAAGATTAGGAGGCATATTCGTCAATCAAAGTGCTTACAGGATAAAATGACCGCAAAGGAGAGTGCAATTTGGCTAGGAGTTTTGAGCCGAGAGGAAGCTCTTATCCAGCAGCCTAGCAGTGATAATGGAACATCTGGCATCACTGAAATACCCCCAGGTAAGCATAGTGAGAAGAGACAACCTGCTTTAAGTAGTGACAGTGACTATGATGTTGAAGGTCTTGATGGTGCTGGTTCTGTTTCATCCAAAGATGGCAGGGGGAATCAATCTCTGGATGTTGAGCCTTTGGCCCATGTTCAGAATGGAGCACCTAAGTCTGTTAGAGAAAAAGAGCAAGTGGAAGAGCAACCTAAGAAGAGACGTCGCTCTGATTCAAACCGCGTTAAAAAACAGCGAGGAGCATCCCATAATGAGAATTTACCAATTCTGTCAAGAAACAGTGTGCCTGACATCAACCAATCTGACATACCATTGATTGAATGTCAGATGAATGGCACTCAGGAGGAAAATGATGCAAGTACAGCTTTGATGCCTGTGGAAAAAGGTCCTGAGGTCCAGTCCCATTTATCAGCATCCGAGTATAACCATTATCCTCCCATTCCCTCTGCTAATGTAATTTCCACACAGAACATGTATGTAGAAGAAAGACCAATGCTTTACACATCAGTGCAAAGAGCTGAGCAACATCATGAAGCTGCTTATGATTTCTATAATCAGTCGGTTGAATATGGCCCTGGTCATCATGGTCATCATACTCAGATGGAAATAAATGTACCTCAGATTAATGCAGGAGAGGACGAGGTCCATGTACCGACATTAGGTAGAAATGAAAATGACATTATTGGAGGGGAGACGGACCATTTTGTGAAAGACATGTTTCATGCTGAAGAGGACAGAGCTGTTGATAATCCCTTTGGCTTGCCAACCAATAGCCTGTCATTCTATGGAGGATTCAGTAGTAGTCCATTTAATATTGGACTTGAGGGTACAATTGATGACTTTTTGTTAGATGAGAGCATAATAGAGTACTTTGGAGCATAGATTGGTAGTGCGTGAACTAAAAAGGTTAGTTGTAATTAATCATACTCTTCAACCTCCTGTTGAAATTTTTCATCAGTAATTTGGTCGTCTTAGTCTGACTCGATGTTACTTTCTGCAGGGACTGCCAAGTATGCATCTGCTGCTGACCTGGATGAGGGAATTTTTCCTTATCCATATTTTAAGCTAGTAAATGTGTCAGCCTTTGAACTTGCTTAGAGCCTTAGACTGTAAGTTGTGTCAATTTTTTATTATTTAGCCTCACTCATTATGGTGCAAAGAAGATAAACAGAACGTGATTTCTGTGTCATAGTTGAACTGCTTCCCCATTAATAGAAATGGAAATTGAAGGGATATGTAAATGAGTCAATTTCATAAACTGTTACATGACAAAGTGGTCATACTTTCTCATTTCCTGCAGACAAGTTGACCTGTTAATAAATAATTGTTTTTTCTCTTTCTTTCAATTATTTATCTGTATATATCGACCATTCTTCATTATTTGTAATGATCTGGGTTCCTACATTTGTTATTATGTCAACTTTTCTCCTCTTTTGAATTTGATATGTAGGCAGTATCTGACCTATGTAGGCAGTATCTGACCTATGACTGTCAGGTGACAACCTGTCCTAGAAAACCTTAGGGTCTTTTTTGAATTCTATGCTTTTTAGTGATTCTGTTTCCTTGATGGTATTGGGGTATGCAGTCTTCAATGACAATCTACACAGTTAGAATGTAATGATCAGACAACTTAGACAGGGGAAAGAGAGATGCTCGTTTGTTGTTTGATTGGAATTCCATCTCTTGAATCCTTTTCAAAAAGAATCAAGATGGTAGTCTTGATAATATTAATTTTAGCATAGTTAGTTAGTTACATGCTGGGTTCTCATTTTCCTTGAGCTATTCTTGCTGTTTCTGCTAGCTTCTGCAGCTGCCAACAATCCTTTGCACACTGATAGAAGTGTTTATAGCTTTACATGCTCCCATATGATCCGCAAAAGAACTTATTAGAAGAATGATGATTGACTCACAAGACAGAATTAACATAATGACATAATGACTGAACCAGATGTTGTGCTTGGCATAACCATGTCGGGGGTATGGGAGCTAAAGTCCAAGCCATGAAGGACGATCATTTACTCATTTTCATTCCAGACGTTCTGTTAGGGGGTTATTTTGTTGTTGTAATCGTATGGTTTGATTCCAGATATTCATAGGATAAATGAAGCATTACTTGATTCACCTAGGTGAAAGCTGCCCTGGAAAAGAACGGAGGGGGAGGGGAAGAGCGTATGAGCAAATAGGGCATTGGGGCTTTCCAAGTTGTCTCACATAAAGCAAGATGCAAGTGCCAAACCACTTCTCCCGGAAGATCTTGTCCATTTATTGTTGGTTTAGTTTTTTTATATTTTTATATATAGTCAATCATATAATTGAGAATGACATTGATCAAGTGTTTGTAATTTCAAAACCATATATTTTTGAAACGATTTTTTAAGTTTAATGATTTATCTTAATTTTTTACATTCAGGTTTAATTGATTAAAAATTTGATTACAATCAACTACTTAAAAAATTTTTTCCTTTCCCAATATTTCCCATGTTTAAAAAAAAAAAAAAAAACAATTTCCATGCTCTTGTGGGCAAACACTAAGGTTGTGTTTGGGAACTTAAATTTGAATTTGATGGGTGTAATTAAAATACATGTAATTGAAATACATGTATTTAAAATACATGTATTTTGAAATACATTGTTTGGATTGAATTAAAAAAAATGAATTTCAAATACATGTATTTTTAAATACATTGTTTGGATATTTTAAAATACTATGTATTTAAA